GTGGCAGAGCAAGGGCCAGCTGCAGGGAGGAGGTGGGCATTTGGAGTGTCCACATCCTGAGGGAGACGCTGGTTCGAGTCTCAGCTGTTCCACTTCCCGTGTAGCCTGGGCGCCTGAGGAGCCATCTCCAGGCTGTGCCCGTCACACGGGTGATTTGGGTAGCTTGGGGTCCACGTGCAGTCACTGTAGGTGTCCTGGAGCCAGGCTTCCTGCAGGGTCTTGCCCGCTGAGCACCCTCTTCAGGTCCCTGCAGCCCAGGGCTCACTGTGGGTGCAGACACCCTGCACCTGGCCTGGGTTCAGCATGCGCATGGCACAGAGACGTGAGGGAATGCGCATGGCACAGAGACGTGAGGGACCCAGCGGGAGCCACGTGCAGGGCCTGTCCCCGGTAGGCAAGGCGCAGGGTGCTTCAGCCTCCAGATCAGGGGTGAAGCTGTTCTCTGCAGGGTGGGCGGGGCTCCCTCGCCTGGGACCTCGAGGACCTGTGGGTGAATCAGGAGCACCCTCAAGCTCAGGTGTCTGGAAACTTCCAAGGAGCTCTGGTTTTTCTCTGGGAAGTTGAAGGCTCAGGACCCGCATGGCCCAGGAATACTACGCTGGATCTGAGCGTGGTCCTCCCTGGCTGGCTGTCACAGGTGCTGTCCACTCAGGTCCTGCTCAGAGCTCTGCTGGGCATGGGGGGGGGGGGAGGCGGGGAACTTCCTGTTTCAGAGCCTGTGAGCTCTCTGAGGTCTCACTCGCCTCACCCCTGCTCTGTGGCGCGGTGTGGGTCAGTTCTCCCTGACCTGTGCCTCTCCATGTGGACAGGGGACGTGCCAGCTTCCTTGCCGCCCAGTTGGCACAGGGCTCTGCAGGGCCCAGGAAGGCATTGACCCTCTGCCCTGACAGCTTGGCTGCTGGTTCCCAGAGGAGACAGCCTGAGAATTGGCAGCGTCCTGAGATCCTTCCTGCCTCCTCTGCATCCACACCCCAGCCCCTGTGACCTGATCCTGGGCTGTAGGCCCCACGAGACACCATGACCTCTGTCCGTGGCCCCTGGCACCTGGGGTGGCTCCTGCCTCACAGCCAGGAGTGGGCTCAGGGCTGGAGCTGCCCCACCGCCAGGAGTGGGCCTGGCAGCGGCTGAAGCAGCACTCATGCCAGCAGGGGGCACCCTGGGTCAGCTCCAGCATGGCCTTGTCCTGGGGCTCCTCCTGCACCCTTCTGTGTGCTGGACAGTGTTGGACTCAGGACCAGGACAAGGATGCCTGTCTGCCCTGTCCCCAGCCAGGGCGACTTTCCTTCTGCCACAGCCGTGTCCAGAGCATGCGCTGCCCTGCCCAGCCGACTGTCGGCTCTACAGTCAGCACCAGGACCCCAGGTGTGCCCAGCTCTTTATAGAAGTGCCCCTGAAGTGGTTGTTTTGGCCTGGTGCTCTGGCCAGCAGAGCCAGTAACGTGGACACGGTGAGGGGATGAGGCACCCTCAGGAGACAGGTGATGGTGGAATCCTCTCGGAAGTGTCCCTTTATTGCCCTTTCACCTCTCCTTGACACTCTTTCCCCCACACCCTCATTAGCAGAATATTGGGTACAGCTGAGTCCCATTAGACCAGGTGCTTCTAGCCCCAAACCCATTCCCTGTAGTGCTCAGCTTAACCAGTGCTAATCAACTGCTTGGCTCACAACAGCCTGGTCGTCCACAGGAACTCCACGACAAATCCTGGGCACACAGGCAAGTCCTAGTGGGAAGACGGGGTCGGGGGCGGCCGGGCTGGGGCCCTGGAGCAGGGGCAACGCTGACACTGAGTGCAGCAAGACGCCGTGGTAGCCCTGTCCAGCTCTGGGATCTGCAGGGGGGGTGGGTGGCACGGAGCTCTGTATAGTTAGGGGGAGACACAGCTGTGCCAGGAAGGGGCAGGGTATATAGAGAGAGGGTCAGTGGGGCTGTGGGTTCCAACATGGGGGTGGTGGCTGGCAGCTCGACCTCCCATCCTGTGTCAGGTAGAGAGGGGGAGAGAGAGAGTGTGAGAATATGGAGAGAGCGATAGAGAGAGAGAAGCCAACTGCTGATGAGGCCTTACACATTCTGAGCAGGAGAATCCCATACCCCTTGCTGCCTTCCGAGTCTTGGGCACCAGACTCTGCCCAGGCCACCAGGGGTGCCCAGGTTGAAGAAGCAGCAACTTAGAGACCTGGCCCCGTCTAGGCTGGCCTGCTGCCGCCTCTGGGAATCCCACTCCCACGTGCTAGCACACACAAGGCCCAGGCACACGGGTGGGGCAGCTGAGCGCCCCCTAAGCAGTCTGTCATGGGGACCTGCTCGGGTGTGTCTCCTGCAGCTGTCCCTGGACGCACAGGCCTGAGGCCAGCAGTGAGGCACCCTGTGCCAGGGACTCTGCCACTTCAGGGTGCAACAAAAGGGGGATCAAAGCATTAGGCCATGAACCCAGGGCGCAGGTCCAGTGGTGTCCGCACACGAAAAATGAAAGAGTTTTTGCTCCCAGCAGCCTCCAGTGATGCTCCTGTCTCTTACAAGGGGAGGGGTCGCAAGGCAAGGATGTCAAGAAAGGCTGTTTTTACACAGACCCAGGAGGCCCTGGGGTGGACATGGTGGCAGCTCTGGGCAGTCTGTGCCACAGGGCCATCTCTGACTGTCTCCTCAGCCTTCCCATGGGAGCCACAACAGGAAGGGCAGTAACTTCCCCTAGATCCCACGAGGACCCAGCTGGGAGCAGCCTGGCCTGCTCTGTGTCCCCACCCTGGGCTCCCCATCTCAGGGTGGAGCATCAGCTGCACTTGGCACACTCGGCCCAACCTCACACAGTGCCTAGCGGCCTGTACGCCTGAGGCCCCTTCAGGGCACATGCTGGAGGGCTCCCCAAAGAGCACACCTAGGCAGGCGCTGGGTGAGGTCTCTGCGTGGCCCTTCCCGTCCCCACAGGCCACAGAAGGCTCAGACATGAGCCGTGGAACCCCTCTCCCCGCCGGTGCTGGGAGCCCAGCCGGCCTGGCCTTTTCCCAGGGGCTGAGCTGTCTGTACTGGCCATGCTGGCCCAGCTGCCCGACACAAGCCCTCCACCCCCGTGTCCACCTGGCAGGAGGCCTGAGGAGGGGTGAGGAGCCCCAGGCAGTGGGAATGCCAGCATGGAGGGAGGGCGGGGAGGCCCCATCCAGGGCCCAGTCAGGGGACACAGGGCCAGCTGGCCTCCAAGACATCACCACTTGTGCGACATCCACCGTGACGCTGTGTAAGCCATGGCACAAAGTGCCCCGTGTGCCCAGCAACCAGGGCCTCCAGGAACTTGTAGATAAGAAGGATCCGGAACATGAAACCCCACCCAGTCTTCCTGGGAGCAGCCCATCCGCCAACAGGTGTGTGCAGCAGGCCTAGGAGCCTGGCCACATGCAGAAGGGACAATGGCCCTCCTGTGGCTCCTTGCCCAGAGTCAGCACTGGAAGGACCAGGAGGGGACAGGGAGGAGGGTAAACTGAGCCATGGGCATGGCCCTCCCCCAAGGGCAGGCCTGCTCCCCTGTCTGGGGAGGTATGGGGACCCGTGGCTGTGGCCGTCCAGGAGGTCCCTGTGTGCCGGGAGGTCAGCCCTCCTCCCCCAGAGGTGACTCCAGTGGCCGGCAGAGGCCCTCGGGTGCAGGGGGACATGGCCGGCGGCACAGGCTCACATACACGCACAGCATCTCCTTTGGGGCTAGCGTGCCTGGGAAGCAGTGATGATGGTCCCGCTGCGTGAGTGGCAGCACCACGTGGGAGACCCGGATGGAGCTTCTGGCTCCTGGCCTGGCCCAGCCCTGGGTGTTGTGGTCCCTGGGGAGAGAAGCGGCAGGTGGAGGAGCTTTGTCTCTGGGTGTGCTTCTTCCTTACTAAGGTTACATGCATGCAACGTGTTTGTGCCTGCGTGTGCACATGCGAAGCGTGTACCTGTGCTTACACTGCAATGTGTGTGTGTGCCTGTGTTGCATCCGTGTGTGCGCCTGTGCGTGTCCATCAACGTGTCTGCCTTGCCTGTGTGTGCACATCTGTGCATGACAGAGGTGACCCGAAGCGTTCCTCGGAAAGGGATGTGACAGATAACCATGAAGCCTGCAGGGCTGCGTGAGTGACATGGCAGTTCAAGCAGCTGATGGCACTGTCAGCGTGCCGTGCCTGAGGGCTAACTGGCTGCCCCATTTCTGTTCCAGATCCCTTCTAACTGGTCTGGGAGGGCAGCTGACCATGGTCAGAGGGTCTGGGCTCTGCCACCCAGGTTGAGACCAACACAGAGTCCCTGTGTCCTGGCTCAACCATCTGGCAGTGAACCTGTGGACGAAAGCTCTAGTAGCTGTTCCTGGGGTTGTGCATTCTTGCAGAAGGGTCCTGGTGCCAGCTGAACTCTCTTGTCAAGGTCTAAGCTTTGATTACACTTTCCCCGTGCTCTCGAAGGACTTCTCAATCACATGCTTGATGCAGAGGGAGGTTTGTTCTCATCTTCTCAGCTCACAGTAGAGTCTACGAGTGGGAGTGTGTTTTGTTGCAAAGTCTGGAACCGCACAGGCAATGTCAACTGGTGTGAGTTTTCCATGGATTCTCCCGGGACGCACAAGCCCTCCTGTTGCAGTTCTTGCCTCACCAGCCCCGTGGCTGTCAAGTGGGTGTGCAGAGAGGCTGCAGCCTGCACAGCAGCGGGGACCCTGGCTCTTGGCCCGTCCCCTGTGTTGGCTCCATGAGCTGTGACTGTCCAGGCCGCATCTGAGGGCCAATGTCTTGTCCAGGGTCCCAGAGTCAGTTGAGATCGAACCCCAGCACAGCCCACTCATGGTTCAGAGTGTGCACAGCAGCCAGCTGGGGTTAGGCTGAGGCACCATGGCACGACACTGACCCACACACTCAGGTCCGACCTGTTTTCCCATCCGTGACCCCTTCCTTTCCTGTGGACAGCGGCCCTGTCCCACTGACCCCTGTGGAGTCAACAGTAGTGATTCAGGAGTGTCCAAGAATAACGACTTCTCCCCGCTCTGGCGCAGAGCTGGCCACGGTCATGGCCAGGAAGGGACTGGCCAACCTCTCGGCCAAGTTCCGGGGGACCCTGTGCTCAGCTATATAAGGGCGGTGGGGAGAGGAGCTGGCCCAGTCTCTCTCAGACCTGGAGAGTGACCTGTCGGAGCTGTGAGAGCAGACCCCTGAGATGCAGCCCCTGCTTCTGCTCCTTTGCCTTGGCCTCATTGCTGCCCTGCGGGCCCAGGACCCCCTGGCCTTGGACGAGGGCGATCAGGATGTGAGGCTTGGGAGGCAGTGGGGAGGCAGGGGGGACTCCGCGGAGACCCTCACTGTAGGGTCCAGCACCTCTAAGCTGGAGCTGGAGCCCAGGCAGCCGGGGTACAGGCTGCTGAGGGAGGTAAAGGTGGGGAGACTTCAGGGAGACCCTCACTGTTGGGGCCTGTGCCTCTGAAAGGCAGCGGGAGTTGGGGACCCCGGTGTACAGGGTGCTGTGAGAGGCATGTGGCTGGCAGTGAGGGGCCATGAAGCAGTGCGGGCACCTGCAGGGCTGGCAGCCATCATTTGGCTCAGACTGGTGAAGTCACTGGGAATATTCCGGGTGGTATGTGGGGTACAGAGGGCTCCCAGTGTCCCAGCCTTGGTGCACGACAGAGTCTGGGGGCTACAGACTCAGACAGGGAAGCCCTGGAGACGTTGCTCAGGCTAATGGAGACGCCCCTTCCCCAGTTGTCAGGGACCTGGTATGTGAAGGCCGTGACCACGAACATGGACAAGCCAGAGAGGAAGCCCGATTCTGTGGGCCCCATAACCATCGTGACGCAGGATGGGGGCAACCTGGAGGTCAGCCTCAGTTTCCTGTGAGTGTCTGAGGCCTGCCGTGGGAGGGCAGGAGTGGAGGTGGGGCATGGCAGAGTGACCACCGGGATGCCCTCCAGCTGAGCCCCTGCAGCTCTGAGGAAGAACTGACCCCGAGGTGCCTGGGCTGTGTGCGTCCCTGAGGATGGCAGATCCGGCTCTGACCACCTGGCTTCCAGGGGCACCTGCAGGGGCCTGCCTGGGACTCATAACCTCCAAGTCCTGTGTGGTAGCCATTCCGGGCAGGGGAGGCCCAAGCAGGCGCAGCGCTGCCCACACGCTCCTGTTCCCAGGATCAAGGGCCAGTGCCACACACTCGATGCTGTCCTGGAGAAAACGGAGGAGCCGGGCAGGTACACGGCCTGTGAGTACTGAGCCAGCGGGCAGGCCCGTCGGGCCAGAGGACCCCACCGTTCTGTGTTTGTCTGGTGCCCCTGTTCTGTGCCCAGGCTCCGTGGTTGGAGGCTGAGGGTTCTGCCAGGCCGGCCTTATCCTCGCTGGTCTCAAGGATGGCAGCCTGGTTAGGCTCCGTGTCGCTGTTGCTCACAGATGGAGGCCAAAGTGTGGTGCTGGTCACTCCGTCATACGTGCAGGACCACTGGATCCTCTACAGCGAGACTGAGCTGCCTGGGCTCCACATGCGACACGCCCAGCTCATCGGTGCGACCGGGGCTCCCATGGCACACCTTGCTCCCCCACACAGCTTCTCCCCTTCCTCTTCCCTCTCCTCCAGGGGAGACCCTGCCCCAGCCCATGCAGCCCCTTGGAGTTGATATCCATGAGGACTCCTCCATGCCTCCCGGGACTCGGCTGTTGGACTCCCTGCCCTGTCTCTGTTGCGGGGAGGCAGGAAGCTGGAGCCCTTAGTGGACCAGGACAGTGATGTTGCACGTGTTGGTGGAAGGTCCAGGCTCACTGGGGATGTTCCCCCAGGAACCCCATTCCACTGAGGGTGTCCAGAGGGGCAAAGAGCAGATGTGGACTCAGGAACCAGGACTGGGGGAGCAGACGGTGGGGGGTCAGTGCCCTGTGACTCTTGTCTGCTCGCTTGGGGGGAGCCCTACAAGGTGGGTCAGCAGGTGCCCAGTGCCCAGGGCAGCCTGGCTTCCTCAGGGCTGCAGGGCCCTGTGCTGTCCTCCGCTCCTTCCCTGCCTGGGGGGGCTCATGTGCACTGGGGGCACCCCATCCTGGTCCATCAGTCCTGAGCTCAGGAGTGGAATGGACTCCATCAGCCCTATCCAGCTGAAGGATCCTCCCAGCTGAGGGCCTCCTGGTATCCCAGGCTGGGTGCTGACCCCTTGGTGCCCAGTGCTGTGCCACCTCACCCTGCTGTCTTGTCCTGGCTGCACCTGCAGGCAGAGAGCCTGAAACCAACCCGGCAGCCTTGGAGGAGTTTCAGAAGGTGGCAAGAGCCAAGGGCTTCACCACGGAGGACATCGTCATCCCCCAACTGGGAGGTAGGAGGGATGCACCTGCCTGCTCTCCCGGCCCAAAGATGCTGCCTGCTCTCCTGGCCCAGGGACGCACAAGTCTCCTTTTGTCTTTGTCCTTCTGGGGCTCAGGGAAGTGTCAGAGACAGGGCAGGTTTGGGGTCCTGGCTCACTCCCAGTGTGCTCCAAGGCACCATATTCCCTCTTTCTGCAGAATCCTGCTCTCCAGAGACTGACTAGGGTAAGCCCCTGTGGCCTTCTGGGAAAATGTGGGTCTCAGGTTTGGTGGAGTGTGGTGCCCTGGCTCTGTCCCCAGCCTGCAGCCTGGGCAGGAGGTTGATCTGGCCAGGCAGCCTGGGTTCTGTCCTGAGCCCTCCAGACCCTCTGGCAATGTTTCAGATCCTACTGTGGGTTACCCCAGGGTGCTGGGGACACTCCCGTTATTTCTGGCTAGAGCAGACACCGTATGGGCACCGGATGCTTGGGGTATCAGGCAGCAACGTCCCTCCCCCTGACAGTCCATGTGATTGTTTTCGCGGCACTGGGAGGTCAGAAATGGGGCAGTAGAAACCCAAATTGGCCACCTTTCCACTGACACCTGAGCTCTGGAGGGCGAGATTCCCAGGTCTGACCCATGGTGGGCAGAGACTCCCAGGTGCCTATCCCCTTTTCCCTGCCTCACTGGTCCCAAGTGTCCTGCCCATGTCTCACACAGGGAACGTGCACCCTGCTCCCCACCTGACCCTGAGACTGAACTCCAAGTTCCTGGTTCCTTCTACTGTCCCTGCTGCAGCCCATCACGTTGCCCACACCCCGCTGACCCTCCTGTCCCTCCTGGGAGTTGTCCCTCCCTACCTAACCCCGGCCCGGTCTGCAGGAGCCTAAGGTGTCTGCCCACTGTATCCTGCAGCACGGGGAGGAGCCCCTTCCCTGTCTGCTACCCACATACCATGATTCTACAGTAAGAGTTCTGGGTCCAGTGCCCAGGTCTCTGTGTCTTGGCTGCCTTGGGGTCTGCTGGACTCGGACACCGAGGAGCGGCTGATACCGAGGAAGGGGCCAGGACCCCCTTGCCTGGTCCCTGCTCTCTCGGGGGAGGGACTGGTGCATGGGCTCCCGTGCGTGGGCTGAGCTCTGATGCACAAGGAGGATATGGCAGTCCACTGGGGCCTGCAGGGGACATCTGGTACCACAGCAGAGGAAGGACAGAACAAATTGGACAACTACCCCAGCCAAGCGTTGACAGCAAATATCTGGGCAAATGGAGACGCTGAAGTGGGTTATGCCAGCCAATGAATCTTGAAAGGATTTCCTCATCTTTGGATCTGTGAGGTCGATAGCATGTCAGAACTATCAAAACCACGGAAGCAGAACCCGCAGAGAATGCTCCACACTGGGGGCCCCGCAATGACATCGGGTAGCCCCTCCTCGTCTCAGGGGGCTAGGTGTGGCTTCTCCCCCACTCCCCCTTTACCCCAGACACGGGAAGAAGCAAAAGAAATTAGGAAACAAAGGTCTCACCCACTTTCCCCTAACCCTCAACCCTTCCTACCTTGATCAACCATATAAACATCACCCAAAAATAAGTAAATAAAATGTAGACAAAGAATTGCCCAGCCACTTCCTAACTAGTTAAGAGGCCACCAATGGGGAACCTTTTACCTGTAGGTTCCTGCCCAACAAGGAGCGGTCAGGGAACGCTAAATATCTCAAGACCCTTCCCCAAACCTTTGGTGTCTCGCCCACTCTCCTTCCAGAGGCGCCCCACCTCCCCGCTCTCCCAGGAGGTGCTCCCCTCCTCCCTGTTCTTTCCACATTCACCTGGTCACTTCGCAAATAAAACTTGTCTGTCTGCAACCGATTCCCGGCTTTTTATTTCTCTGCTGAGCTGAAGAAGGAGCCCACAGCTTCTCTGGTTACATTCTATCCTCTGGGTCCCTCCCCAAATGGCTGCACTGGCTAGAGATGAGCTGGCCTGAAGCTGGGAGCCAGGAGCTTCTTCCAGGTCTCCCACGTAGCTGCAAGGTTCCAAGACCTTGAACCATCCTCTGCTGCTTTCCCAGGCCGTAAACAGGGAGCCATGTCAGAAGGGAAATACCCGGGACATGACCTGGAGCCCATAGGGGATGCTGGTGCTGGGAGGCGGAGCCAGTTAGGTCACCGCACCAAGCCTAATTATTAAAAGGGTGAATATGGCTGATAACAAGGACAATTAGACTATGACCCTGAGCACACTTCTATGGAGTGAGGGGAGGGACATGGACAGCCTCTCCTTGGAGATGTAAAGTGGATGATTTTATGGCTTAATTGTGGACTTTCCATTATCAAAGTAAACTCTGAGATGAGAGCTGTGGCTTTGTGAACAAGGGCGAAGGCTTAACCTACCATTCTGACTGCGGTGAGCCTGCTGGGCATGGAGATCTCAGGGACATCTGGGCAGAGCTGGAGCCCTTGTTGCTGAAAGCCAACCTCTCTCCATATGTACAAGAGGGAGATAGGCTCGGCTCTGTTCTCTGAGGGCCCAGAGGGAGGACGCTGCTCAGAGAACCACGGATACCCCAGGTCGGCCTATGGAGGTCTGGGCTGCTGGCTCCCCTTGGACCCACCCCAGACTACGGCTCTTACAGCTGCTTTCTGGTTAGCAGGGAAGAGTCGTGGGCAAAACCTCATCCTGTCAGTAGGCTCACAGCACACACCCCGTAAGGCTTACAGCCCAGAACGCTCTGAACCCCCACACCACCAGCCCCATCCCCAAACGCTTCCACCAGGAGTCAGAGGAGTGGAAAAGGCTCCTAAGCCGCTGCTGGCCAAGGGCATGGCAGGCACTAGGCCGTGTGAGAGCGATCCTGCCTGCCTGAGCTGGAGCTGGCACCTGAGTGTCAGCCTCTCCCTGCAGCTTCTTCCCGGGACCCTCAACCACACAGGGCAGCCAGGGCAGTGGGCAGGTGTCACGGGTTCCGGATGGCCTGGTGATTCTTGGGCACAGCCACAAACCTCAGCTTCTTCATGACCGGCGGCCAGCCCAGCATCTGCTGGTCCCACAGGTACTCGGGCGACAGCACCTTGGTGGGCTTGTGGTAGAGCAGGTACTTGTTCAGGTGGCTCTCGTCATGCCACACGGCCTCGATGCCGTTGGCCTTGTCCAGCAGCATGGCCTGGTGGCAGGCGCTGGCCAGCCGCTGCACCTCGGCCACCGAGCCCCCAAACAAGGCTCCCATGTAGTAGAAGTCACCCTGGCCGTGAGGGATGTAGGCCTGGGACTGCGGCCGCCGCTCGTAGCTGAAGGCCTCACGGTTTGTATTGTAGAAGCCGGGGTGCAGGGTGCCGAAGAGCGGGGTCAGGATCTCCACGCCCACGTGGTCCCGGAACTTCATGTCCACGTCGGCACACACCAGGTAGTCCACCTCGTGGCGGAAGCGCTGCTCCGAGAAGCGGGCGATGGCCTCCATGCGGTGCATGGACACGTCCTGCCAGCGTGCATGGCTCGGCACCTCCAGCACCACCAGGCGCCGGCCCTCCCCGAGCGGCACATCGGGCACGTCGGCCGGCCGATCGGTGAGGACGTAGTAGATGACACGGTGGCCCGCCATGAAGTGCTGCTCTGCCGTCTCCAGGAACAGCTTCAGGAAGACCACGTATCTGCAAGGGGCGACGGCAAGACCGTAGCCTCGGTCAGCGACCAGCCCAGAGCGCAGGGCAGGGTCATGGGGCCTCCTAGGGCTGCAGCCTCGGTCAGCGTCCAGCCCAGAGCCCAGGGCAGGGTCATGGGGCCTCCAAGGGCTGCAGCTTTGGTCAGCACCCACCCGCAAGCCCAGAACAGCTGGTCTTGCAGGGACACGGGGCCTCCAGAGGTTGCATGCGGCAGGCACCAGGCTGTAGTCCTACACGTTTCTGGGTGCATCCGTGGCTATGTCTGCTTAACCCTATATCCCAGAGCAGGCCGGGCACTGAGCTGACGGCAGAGTAAGTGGATACCCTGCAGCCCAGGGGAGGGCTGGCTGGGCCTCGCACTCCGTCCACCTGAGCCCCCTGTTGGACCCTCTCTGCCAGCCGGGCAGGTGTCGATCCATCACCCATGGAGAGTAATCAACCAGGCTACCCCCTCTGCATTCCAACCTAGACCCGGAGGGCTCCAGGTGTCTGCCCGCCCCTTCCCCTTCCCCCTCCCCCCCCCCCACAATCTCACTTCTTGACGGCAAACACGGTCAGCCCCACAGTCAGGTTCTGCTGCTGGAACTGTGCATTGAGGAGCTCGATGTTGAAGGTCCCTTCCCAGATGACGGGCGCCAGCCAGGGGGTGAGGACAAGGACGTCACTCCTCCTGCAGGAGGACAGCCACACGGTGCCCGGGAGCCAGCAGGAGTCGTCCACGGACAGCGCCCACCCCTCGGGCCCCTCAGCCTCCGGCCCGACCTGCCCCAGGGCTGCCCCTGCCAGGGCACTGGGCAAAGGGCAGCCAGACAGGAGGAGCCCACGGATAGCGCACTCCTCCCCGGGGCCCCTCAGCTTCCAGCCTGGTGTCCCCTGGCGCTGTGCCCTCCCTCCAAGAGGACTGGGCAGGAGGGCACTGCAGGCCAACCAGGACACCAGCCAGCAGCTTCCAGCAACACTGGCCCCTCGGGCCCCTTGGCTCTGCCTCCCACCTGAGGATGGGGTCTTCCCCCAAGACCAGGAGACCCCTCCCCAAGAGGGAGACCCCGTCACAGCCCTGCAAAGAAGGGGGACATAGGGCAGTTGGCACTTACACGGGAGTCAGCGCCTTCGGCTGTGGGTACAGCATCCTGCAAGAGACAAGGTGGAGTGTGTGATCTGGAGTGAGACTTGCAGGCCATGTGCATGCTTGGGCTCTCATGAGTAACGTGGCATGTAGGCCACGCATGTGCATGCGTTCAGATGAGTGAATGGGGTATAGGCCACGTGTGTGGGCCCGGATGACTGACGTGGGGTGTAGGCCGCATGCGTGTGGGCGCGGATGACTGACGTGAGGTATATAGGACGCATGCGTGTGTGGGGTTTGGCGGGTGACTTGGGGTGCAGGCCACCAGTGGCTCCCGGCAGTCCCACAGTGGCTGCTCTGGCCCACATGGCCTTAATATGGCCGGACTCGGCATTTGTCAACAAGAGAGAGACCATGTGACCTCAAGAGGCAGGGAGGGGATGGGGACTTGGCCCTGGCAGAGGTGGACCTGCTCAGTCTCACGGGACCCGCTGTTGGGCAGGGCAGGTGGCTGAGTCACCCACAGCCCCAGGAAGTGGCCTGGCTCCTCAGTGTGGGGGTGGGAAAGCAGCACAGCACAGACACGAGACCAGGAGTGGACTCAGCCAAATCACACGTACTGGAAATAAGGTCTGAAGACAGCGGTCAGCTGCAGACAGCAGGGGCAGCAGGTGGCAGAGGGCAGGGAGGGAGTGCCACGTGTGCATGGAGTACCACCTAGTGAGGTCCAGTATGGCTGAGTGCCACGTCTGGATGGAGTGCCACGTGTACGTTCTCTCACACCCACGGGGGCAGGAGGGAAAAGGGGTCTACAGGGTGGTGGGGCAGAGGTCAGGTGGGAGATGAGGCCGGGCAGGTCAACCGCTGGCAGGGACAGCGCTTCAGCACAGCAGGACAAGGACAGGTTGCACCTGCTTCCCACAGGGACACACAGATAAAACTGCAGCAGGTCCCACGGGGCCAGCACTGCCCACAGCCTCAGCCCTGACAAAGGCCCGGCCAGGCCCCACACACTGAGCCGGGAGCCACCTGCCACAGGGCACACCTGGCACTGCCATCTCAGCCTCTCTGAGGTGTGGGATGAGGCCAAGGTCAGAGCCAGAACCCGGGACCCTTGGGGGCAGGAGAAGGGTCTGCTCGGGTCATACGTACTCCAGGACTGAGGGCAGGTCCATGAGGGCGACTGAAAAAGGCCACCATACCTGGACAAGGCCACCACGGGCTGGCTGCCAGGCTGCCCAAGAGCCACACTGCAAGGAGAGAGCACAGGGGAGGGGGCTTTGTCAGGGCTGCAGGGAGAGAGAAGTGAGGAGGGGGCTGGCTTCAAGAGCAGCAGGCAGGACCACGTGTTGGGGTCAGCAGAGGCTGTGGGAGCCAGGGGTCTGAGACCATCAGACTTGTGGGTATAATGGTGAGGATGGCCTGGTGCCTGCTGGGCCCTGGAAGAGCCTGTCCCATCCCAGTCTAGGGTCTTCCTGGGTACTAAGCTGCCCTGTGACTCTACCCCACGCCCCTCCTCCTTCCCAGCTCCTGCAGAAGCTTCTAGAATGATTCCACAGGTGGGGGTTCAGAACCTGCCCCTCCCACTAGGGGGTCTAGTGCTGACAGCTTCCACAGACACAGCCTCTACCTGACCCTCGGGGTCTCCTGTCTGGGACCACCCAGCCAGGCTGAGGAAAGGAGGCCGAGGCCACATGGGGATGGCCCGGCTGGAGTCAGCAATGTCTTGACGGTCCCGGCCATCCCTGAGAGCACTTGGGGAGCTCAGGAACCCCAAGAAGAGGGGTTGCAGAGACACCCCAGCCACAAGAGGCCAGGGCAAGAGGCCCAGCAGGCCAGTCCCCCCACCAAGGGAGGGTGCCATACACACTGGCTTCCATGAGGCAGAGGGGACCTGGCTGGGGAGGGTGAGCAGCTGGCGCTGAGGTGAGGGGACCCAGCTGAGAGGCAGGATGAGGCATGGCTGAGGGGCCGGGGACAGGTGGGCAAGGGTGAGCCTGAAGGAAGGCTCAGGGCCGGCTGTAGGCCCCTGTGGGCAGCTGGACGGTCACACGGAGCAGGCCGCCCCAGGGACTCCAGGGAGCCTGAGGCCAGACCAGGGAGGGGTGGCTGCTCTGGGCAGAACACGAGGGTCAGGGGAGGGAGGGCTGGGGAGGGAGGGCAGGAGAGTGGGCCCTCAGGGGCCAGGGCACACAGCCCTGACCTGCAGCCACGCTCACCAAGGCTCGGCTCCCACATCCGCTGGTAGCTGGCTTCTGTAACTTAGGAACCCGTAGCTGTGGAAAGGAGGCACCAGGTGGGGTTCAGAACCCAGAGCCCAGCCCCCTCACCCTGTCCCCTCACCCTACACAGAGCCCAGCCCCCTCACCCTTCCCTACACAGAGCACAGACCCTCAGGGGGGCTCTCAGGTCCCACAAGGCCCCAGGCAGGAAGCTGAGCAGGGGGCAGGACCCTGGGGACAGCAGCAGCCAGGGAGCCCCCTGCTGGGCTTGGTGGCCTGAGGTCACCCCAGGGGGTGTTTCCTGTCTGCACACACACACCCCAGGAGCCCCAGTTGGGTCTTCACTCTGGGGTCCTAGAAGCTTCTGTCTGGAAGCTGCTCACAGCCTGACCCCAATTCCCCTGTGTGCATGGGAGGGGGTGAGTGTACCCCAGGGGAGATCAAACAGGGAGCAAGGGAGGGGCGAGGTGGACTTGGGTGACAGCTGTCCTGGGCCCTGCGGGGCTGGGGCAGCTCAGGGGGCGCCCTGCCACTGTGTCTAAGGCCGCCCAGCTGGGGCCCACACGTTTCTTACCCAAACAGGACCAGGAGCAGAATCAGAACAAAGATGCCAGGCTGCAGCAGTGGGCCGCACTTTGGTCTTCCTGGAAAAGAGCAGTGGGAGTTCCAGGGACGCCCCCTCCCCTCCCTGCTCCCCTGCACCTGACCTTCCTGTCACTGTCCACGGCCCCTCCCCCAGCTCCACCCCAGCCCCCTCCTCTCCTCGCAACACGCTGTGCCAATGAGGAGCCGTCTGCCCCCGTAGTTCACTGCTGCACCCTGGGTCGGGGGCTCATCCCTGGGCCCTGCCCTGAGCACCCTGTCCCACCCTCCTCTCAGGTGACTGTGGAGTTCAGAAGTCACTGCTCATGGGGTCAAGAGCCACCCACTCCGGGTCCCAGCCCTGTTCCTGACCGCCAGTCCCTTTCAGCTGACTGGGCGGTTCCTTCCACCTGCAGCTCCTGCTCTGTCCATCTCCCCTCTCTAAGTCCACGGAGCGGAACTGTGATGACGGGGGCCTGAGAGGGGAGGGGAACGCGCCCTATCTGCACACGCATGCTCCATCTGCGTGGTCGGATGTGGGGCCGTCCTGTTGTAATCAGCTTTGAAGAAGCAGTTCCTTTTCTTGTACTTTCACGGTCAACTGCCTGTGAACATGTCCAGCAAGGCATGACGGGATGACCACGTACTCATGCCGCTCTGCCCGTGAGGGGGACCTGGGTGGATGCCCAGGCCCTGCCTTGGGGCTGTGTGGGGCAGGGGGCAGAGAGTCAGGATGGAAGATCTCCCTCTTTCAATCTCTCTCGCTCTGTCTTGCAAGTAAATAAATCTCCAAAAATAGAAAATTAAAGACTTGAAGAAAGATTTTTAAAAATTTTTCCTAATTTAAAAGAAATGGTGGGCCCAGTACAACAGCATAGTGGTTAAAGTCCTCGCTTTGGGCCTACTGCAGTGGCCTAGTGGCTAAAGTCCTTGCTCTGAATGTACCCTGGGATCCCATATGGGCACCGGTTCTAATCCTGGCAGCTCCACTTCCCATCCAGCTCTCTGTTTGTGGCCTGGGAAAGCAGTTATGACGGCACAAAGCCTTGGGACCCTGCACCCATGTGGGAGACCCGGAAGAAGTTCCTGGATCCCAGCTTCGGATCGGCACAGCACGTTCCATTGCGGTCACTTGAGGAGTGAATTATCTGACGGAAGATCTTCCTCTCTGTCTCTCCTCCTCTGTGTATATCTGACTTTGCAATAAAAATAAATACATCTTAAAAAAAAAAAAAAGAATCCAACATCTGCTCAATTTAAGAAGAAACATAATGGCGCGGGTTGAAAATCGCCCTGTCTTTGGCCATAGCCATGGGTGAGATTCAGCGCCTAGAGCCACCAGGAGCCTCAGCTCATCTCCCACTGCCTGTGTGGAAAGGTGAGACCCAGGCCCCAACAGGCGCAAACAGGAAATGATAAGCAAGTGTAAAAAGAAAACCAAAGAGTCTTCCAGCCGCCGCATGGGCTGGACGGCCCCAGGACAAGTAGCGTCTCATGCCTGAATTGCAGGTGGCCGCTGCCATGCGCATGTCCGGAGCCGGCATCGGGCGGCCAGTGCGCCATTTGGCGGGAGGCTCTGCCTGCTGGCCACCCAGCCAGGGAGCTCTGGGAGTTGGTTTCTGTGATTGCTGCTTAGAAAGCTCCATGATGAACCCTCAGGGCTTTGGGGATGTGAATCAACCCTAAAGATTCCCAAAGATGTAAATCTCCCCCGATGGACCTCTACCTACTATGGTCTCAACCCACGTGTTTTTAAAATTGTATAACCAAATATATTTTCAAAACCTTTTACTACTCAGAAATTGGGCGGGAGAGCAAAGAAACCTTCCATCCCCTGTGAACGTGTGAGGAAGCTGTGTAGTGTAACCTCTCAGACACATAACAGGTTACTTGTAGACAACAGATTCAAGACAGCATTAGACAACAGTAAAACTACAAAGACATACAGGGGGAATCAAGAGCGACCCTGAAAACCTTTTAACAGGAGGTCATGTGCACAGAGCAGTGGGGGACCACAGAGTGGAGCAGGTGGACAGGAGGAGGCTTGTATCCCAAACCTGGAGTCTCCCGGATCCCCACCAAGGACTATCAGTACAGGCGCCAAGGACCACATCCCAACTGCCAAAGAGACCACGGGGGACTGGAATGCCTTCGGAGCCCGAGAACTCAGAGGACACCCCCCATCCCCACCCCTTTGGACCTACCACACGGGATGGAAAAAGCTGAATCCTTCATCATAGGATCCAAGGCCATCAGAACAACAGCCAGGAAACCTGAGCGGTCTTCAGAAACAGAAGAACAGTGGACTCCCTTCAGGACTAGGGAGAGGAGCTATCTCTGGTTCTTACTTAGCTCCAACCTCGGGTCCCAACCTCTCTGCAATGACCATGAGGGACGCTCCAGAGCACCCAACACACACACACACGCACACTCACACACACACACACACACTCACAAATTGGAATGGATAGGCAGAGAACAACAAGGAAGGCTTGGTCAGCATGGACTCACACACACCTTACTAGGTAGGACACGGGGATTAAGTACTCCTCACCAAGGTATGGAAGATTTCTCTGCACTCCCTTCCTAACACTGTTTTGCACCTCAATTGTTGAAATGTCATTGAAATAGCCACAGGAAGTTGTTAAGACCATGCATCCAATTTTGACAAATTGGTTACTCAATACTTTGTCAATTTATCCCTTAATGTTATATATTGCTGCTGATGTTATGTTGGGGCTTTTAATTGACCGGGATTTTACTCTGTTGGCTCTGCCTTCGGACCGGGGAGGGTCTCCCCAAGAAGCTGCTGAACTTGACCGGACAATGAGATGCTGGACTCTATGCTTGGTGTATATATGCTTGCAATGAAGGAATCTCAACTAAACCTGAACTGTGGTTGCGCAATGGGGGGGAGGAGCCCACCGTGGGGGGGGGGAGGGGAGGGAGGGGAGGAGTGGGGGGAATCCCAGTGCCTATGTAGAACTGTGTCACATAATACAATGTAATTAAATATATATATAATAAAATAATAATTTAAAAATAGAAGAACCATGTGGGGGCAACAGGCAGTGGCTCTGACTGGCAATTCTCTGGCCCCTGACCCATGAGATGAAATAGGCTCCTACAGCTCCAATCAGCAGGAAGGAGTTAGGAAGCCCTGCCTGCCTGCGGCCTTCAGCAAGGCTTAGCTTAAGCTCGCAGATCCCGAGCAGGAATGAATGAGACAGGGAGTTTAGGGTCCCAAGATGGACTCCGCACCTCTCCCACCCGTGTCGTCCCATCCATCCTCCAGGCAATCACATGACCCTGTCCACAGCACCGGCTTCCCTCACCTGGACCTGGGGTGCTTTTAGGTAACCATGCCCCTTCCAAGCTCAGCAGAAGCCTGGCAACACGGAGGCGGAGGGGGGAGGCATCCCTCTCTCCCTCTTCCCCTGGACACAAGTGCTAACGCATCGGAGAACACAGTGGAGGGTGGCTTGAGTGGCTCCTGCACCCAGGTGGGGGGCCCGGAGAGGCTCCAGGCTCCTGGCTTCAGATCAGCCCAGCTCCAGCCGTTGTAGACACCTGGGGATCGAACCAATAGAGGGAAGATCCCTCTGTCTGTGACTCCTTCTCTCTCTCTTGTAACTCTAACTTTCCAAGAAACAAGGAACAAATGAATAAAGCATTTTCACTATTTATGTGTGATATAAAAACTTGCAAAGAAGGAAGCAAATTCCCAGCCGAACATGGCAGCCTAGCAACTAAAGTCCTCGTCTTGCACACGCCAGCATCCCATGTGGACGCCGGTTCTAATCCCAACAACCCTGCTTCCCACTCAGCTCCCTGCTTGTGGCCTGGGAAAGCAACAGAGGACAGTCCAAAGCCTTGGGACCCTGACCCACGTGGGAGAACTGGCAGAAACTCCTGGTTCCTGGCTCCGGATCACCTCAGCTCCGGCCATTGCGGTGAATTGGAAAGTGAATCAGCAGACAGAAGATCTTCCTTGTCTCTTGTCCTCTCTGTATATCTGTCTTTCCAATAAAAATACATAAATCTTTAAAAAGAAGAAAGAAAATTCTCCCTCCAGTCCCACCACCAAGGGCACCATCGCCAGATTCCAGCATTTTCTACACACACAATATAAATTCCTTTGTATTTAAAAAGAATTAAATAACAGACAAGAAAACACCTAGTTAATACAAAGGAGACAGACAAGGGTAAACAGAACACAGACATGTTGTCAAAAGAGCCATGGCGTGTGACCAGCCCAGGGACACTGCAGGATCCCACACTCCGACCAGAGAGCCATGGCGTGTGACCAGCCCAGGGACACTGCGCAGGATTCAACATTCCAGCCAGAGAGCCATGGCGTGTGACCAGCCCAGGGACACTGCGGGATTCAACATTCCAGCCAGAGAACCATGGCGTGTGACCAGCCCAGGGACACTGCGGGATTCAACATTCCAGCCAGAGAACCATGGCGTGTGACCAGCCCAGGGACACTGCGCAGGATTCAACTTCCAGCCAGAAGGGACAGATTGTGACACTAGATTTTCTCTTTTGCCTTTTCCTTTACCTATTTCTTTATTTCTTTGAAAGTCAGAATTGTACAGAGAGGAGACACAGAGAGAGATCTTCGACCTCCTCTTTGCAGACGGCTGCGATGGCCAGGGCTGGACCAGACCAAAGCCAGCAGCTTCATCCAGGTCTCCCACGTGGCTGCAGGGGCCCAAGCACTTGGACCATTGTCCGCTGCTTTCCTGGGCCAGAGCAGGAAGCAGAGCAGCCAGGGCTCCAACTGGCACTCAACAAGAACACAGCTGAGCCTGCGGCACCGCAGTGCCAGCCCCAGTTTAACACTTTGAAAAAGCAAACAATGCAGCAGGCGGTGGCCTTAGCTCTTCAGCCACAGGTCTGGGCACCCCTGTTCCTGGGGAGTACCTGGTATGAGTCTCAGCTAAGGCTCCCAGTTCCGGCCCCCTGCCCATGCAAACCCCGAGAGGCAGTGAGGTTGTCCCGTAGGACTTGAGGAACACGCGTGGGACACCGGGTTGGGTCCCCAGCCCATGGCTTCAGCCGGGCCCAGGGCACCTGGAGAGCGACCCTCGAGCGGAGCTCTCCCTGTCTGTTGCTCGGTGATTCTCTTTGTCTTTCAAATTGGAAAAATCATAAATAAAAAACACTGAGCTACATGAAGACAAATAAACAGGCCTTTGTAAAGATGGAGCACTTCCAAACGGGTTAAATACAGACCAAAGCAGAAGGGAGCGAGCCGGGGGTCGCTGTGCTGCCACACTAAGTCCCATCCCTCACTCGGGAGTGGCTGCTGGGCCGAGGTGGCCGTCGGGCCCCTGGGCGGTCAGGGCAGGGACAACGAGCCTGCTGAGCCGGAGCTTCCACGCACTGGGGCAGAGGCCGCTCCTAACGCACCTGCCGGGATCGTAGGTGGGGTCTGGTTGACCTGTGAATTTAATCCCTGGAAAGGTTTCCAGTACATGGGTACCTGACCCAACCGTGGCCTTTCGAGGTGGGGCTCCGGGAGAAAGCTGGAACAGCATGCGGTGACCAGAGAGGAGCCCCCGTGACTCAGCGCTGCTGGCTTGCCAGGGCCTGGCCTCCCTGTGGCTCCTCAGCTGGCCATAGTCCTCCTGAGCCGGAGCTTTCTCACAGCCCTGCCCGGGGCCGCAGGGGGCACAGCGTGGCAGGTGGGCAGGGAAGTGAGCGGCTCTGGGAGCAGGTGCCCGGAAGGCTGTGCGTGCGTCCCCTGCCAGCTCCCTTCCACTTTTAACTTCCCTTTCCACAAAGCTGAACAAATCATCTCCAGGTGGGGTAAGCTGTGGCTCGTGGTGTAGTCCACCTTGTGCAAGCGCCCCGGTTGCAATCCTGGCAGCTCTGCCTCCCCTGCAGCTCTGCTCATGCGCCTGGCATGGCAGCCAGGGGGCACCAAGCACTCAGGGAGACCTGGATGGAGTTCCGGGTTCCTGGCCTCGGGGAGGGCAGCGACCGGAAGATGGACAGTTCCCTCTCTCCTCCCTCTCCCTCCCTCCCTGTTGAACTGCTTGCCAAAGAAATGAGTAAATCTTTTCAAACCCGCACTCACACCCTCCATCCTCATTCCACACCGTCCCCTCTCCCCTCCCTGCTGGCCATTTGCCTGCATACACATGGACACAGCCCGGGTGTGCGCGCGCACACACACAGACACACACACACTCCACAGAAACCCAAGGCTCTGGCATCTTGGCACCGTGCTCAGGCTCATCCTGCCCCACCCGTCCTCATGTCGCTTGACCCACCAGCCACAGCCAACACAGTTGAACCCTCCCTGGAAACACCTGCTCACCTGAGTTTCCAGAACTCTCTAACACCCTGGCCAGCCCACTCCTCTTTTTGGCTCTTTCTGCTTCCCCCTTGGGACGAGTGCTGTGGGCTCAGGCTCGGCCCCAGGCTGGTGTCCCTGCCTCTCCCTGGGGCAGCTGACGGAGTCTCCCCGCTGCTGACCCCAGCAGTGTCCAGCTTGACCCTCCTAGGCACCCTGAACCACTCACTGCGTCGACCAGAGGCGAACCACCCTCACATAGTCCACCGGCCCCACCCTGAGAGCTGGGGACCCCCCCCCCCGCAGCTTCCTCTCCCTCCCACCCCAAATCCAGCCAGCAGCACCCATGCCAGGACAGGCCTGGGCTATGTGGGACCAGCTAGGCCCCTTAGAGGGGCCCCACCTAGGCTAGTTCAAACACAGGGGTGCCCTGGAGGTCTGAATGGCCACAGCTGGGGATTCCTTCCACCAGTGTCTCCCCAGGGATGCCGGGTGGACACCCCAAGTGGCTCCCATCCTCAGAACTGTGGGTTCTGCCCACCAGGAAACAAGGACCCACAGCCTTAGAGCACACTGTGGGCGCTGGGCCTTCTCAGGTGCCAGGACCCCCCAGCCGCTCCCCATTCCCCAAGCCCCCACCCCTCCCTTTCCCTCAGTCATGGTTCCAGGGCCTTGTGGAATCGGGAGCCACTCCCCACCCAGAGCAAAGGTCTCTGGTTGTTGTGAGTTCAGCGACTCTGCCACCTGACCCCACAGCTGCTGGTCATGCTGGGCTGCTCCCGAGACCCCTGTGCCAACTGCACGAGCATTGGGTACCCAGTTTGAGGTACCCTCGCCTTGCAGCCGCAGGTTCAAGGCCTCAGCAGGACCGCCTGGTGAGGGTGCCTAGACACCCTCGCAGGGACGCCTGCCCTCAGCCATGACTGTGCTCTTGTCCCCTCAGCTCTGCGAAGGGCGGTCCTAACCCCTCATTGTGGCTAAGCAGCTGTCCTGGCCAGGCTGCCTCGGGACCAGGGCCCATCAGAACTGCTCCATGCTGCTACTCACCTCGGACGTCCATGGTGCCCACAGGACCTGTGCCAGGCATCCGCAGGTGGAGGCCGGTGCCAGGTGACGCCAGCTCAGAGCCAGCATAGTGGCAGGGGACAAGGCCGGGCTCCTACCCAGCCTGTCCCTTCTGGGCGGGACTTGAAGCAGGTTTCTGATTGGCCTGACCTGGCGGGGCAGTCAGCCTGGTCCACACCACACAAACAGGAAGCCAGCACCCAGCTGCTGTCCCGGCTGGGGAAGGTTCTGCCCACTGCAGGGCACCCCAAGCCCAGGAATGGCTACACACCCTCTCCGTTACCTCTCTAGTTTCGGTTCCTCCACCCCAGCTGTTCCAGCCAGGGTGTGTGTGTGGGGAGGGTCCATGTGAAGGTCAAGGACTTGGGGTGTTTTAGAAGTTCACTGGAGACAATAGGAAGCCAACGTTCCCGGAGCCCAGGAGGGCCCTGGGCCCAGCCCGGAGGAGATGGGCAGCTGGCCCTGCCCCTGTTCAGCATCCTCCCCGCACGCTGTACCCCTGTCTGACTCTCTTCCTGTTGAGAGTGGAAGGCAATCTGGGGACTCTCATCCTTCGCCTACGCCCAGCTGTGCACTCGGTCCTCCAGGGACCCAGGGACCCAGGGACCCAGGCACCCCTGACTGCCCGCAGAGCGTCCTCAGCGGAGTCTGAACCCCACCTGGCGAGATGACCTCCCTACCAGAGCCTGGTGTGGACCCCCAGCACTCAGCATCATGCAAATCCCATCGCCCACCCCTTCCCTTCCGCCAGGAGGAGCCACTGGTCACCACATTCTCACCCCCGCCCCCCACCTTCCGCCTTGAAACCAACCCCACTTCTCTGCTTCCCTGAGCGCCGAGCTCCCGCCTCCTCTGTGGGCCTCGGCCTTGCTTCAGAATGCCGAATGTGGGCACAGCTCCCAGCCCTGCCCTCAAGAGCCAACACCACGGCCTCTCTAGGGCCTGGGGGCTCTCTCGTGTCCATGAAACCCTATGAGAAACAGGACAGCCCCTCCCGGCCAGCACAGAGCCCTAGGCCCGGTGGGCAGTGCCCAGGGAGTGACTGCCAGGCTGCTGGGGGGGTGCCACAGCTCAGTCAGGGCTGTCCAGGCCCTCCCCTCAGGACACCCTGACCTGAATCGGCTTGCTTAGTTTGTTAAAGACAGAAAGACTCAAAGTGAACACACCACACCTGTCCCGAATCCCCAGCGCTCCTCCCTGGAAACTGTCACTGACTTTTTCAAACTTTGCTTGATCATGCCAGCATCTACACTGTATTTTAATGACTTCCACAATACATCTTGTCCCTCACTTTTGTGTTCTGAATAGGAAACTGTTGTAGATCAGGACTCAGAAGGGAGCACAGTGAGACACGCTGGCACCCCTGGCAGTCTCAGACTTCACCCTGGCTCTCTGTGCCCAACGTCCGGGTTTGGGGCTGGCACCACGTGCAGGGCACGAAGCCTCAGCCTGTGGTGCCAGCATCCCATGATGGGCATGGCTCCTAGCCCTGGTTGACTCACTTCCTCTTTCTTATGTAATACATTTATGTTTGCCGATGTTTCCATCGTGAGGCGGATGCATGGCCACGTGCGACTCATCAGGTGGAAGGGCCAAGGAATAAGGGAAAGTGGACGAGACCATTGTTTCCGTTTTTCTTCCTTTCTTTATCTGGGGGAGAGGGGAGAGAAAGGCAGAGAGCCACCCCCAGCAGCCCAATCGAGCCGAACCTGGGGCTGCGGGACGGCTGCCAGTGTCACCCTAGGGTCCCTGAGACGGAGCACACTCCAACTGGCTCCGATGATTCCGAAATGCTGTTGATTCTGCCGCTCCAAGGTTGAGGAAACCCTTCCAAGGTCCATTGGCTGGCACGGTCCACCCTGGTCCCCACTCGCCCAGGTGCTCGCTGTCAAGGCGTGGCCGGGAGAGCTGCCCTCCGTGTGCTGGACGTCCTCGGTCATCTGTCTCCGTGAGTCTGGGATGCCGTGCACGGCACAGGCCTCAGCAACAAGGAGGCCCAGCTCCAACACGCGTTCCATGGTCAGACCACAGATACGGTGACTCTCCATGGTCGGAGTTTTGAATCCAGCAGTCCAGCTCAGGGGTCCCCCAAAGAAACCTTGCAAGAGGGGACCCCAGCCTGACTCGTGTGTGCCAGGCAGTGTGGGGTCCGGCCCAGTGCATCACCCACATCAACCTACATACACACACTGCTGCAGGTCACCAGTCAGTTCTGTCCTCAGCCCCATCTCACAAACCAACTGATGCTGCAGCCCGGCCCAGCCCAGCCCTGCCCACCACACACTCGACCCTCACACACCAGTGGGAACTGCAGCCTGGTCAGAGTGACCCCCAATATCGCCCAGCCCAAGTCCCTGTGCATGCCAGTATGTGCAGCACACTGCTCCGGTCCGTCCCATTTCCCACTTAGTTCTTATACACATCGATGGGTGTTGGAGCCTAGTTCATCCCAGCTGACCCCACGCTCCAGCTCACACTTGTGCCAGTGGGTGCCACCACCTGTCCAGCTCGGCCCACCCCCGTCCCAGTTCTCATGCTCACCCGTGGGAGCTGCAGTCCATCAGAGGTGCCCACAGTTTCCCTATGGGCTCACTCCCAGCCCCGGATCTTGTACTGTCCAGGTGGTTCTGCAGTCTAGCCTGACAGGATTTTCCCCCATCCCAGCACTTGCCAGCTGATGCTGCAGCAAAGTCTGACCTTGCCCTGACTCTGCCTCACACCTGCACCCGTGGATACAGTCACTCAGACCAGCCTGGCTCTCTCAACCCAAGTCACAAGCAGCCCAACAGGTGTTGTATCCCTGCCCAGCCTGGTCAGCCCCAGTCCCAGCTCTCACACTCACTTGGCAGAGCCTCTGCAGGCCCCCTACCAGGCCTCCCTCCCACCTCCCACCCCCAGGTCTTACATGTGCTCGTGGGTGCTGCAGCCCAACCTGACTTGGCCCTTCTCTCTCCCAGCATCCACTGGCAGGTACAGTGGCTTTGCCCAACTAATCTACACCCATCTGGCTCTTATTGGTGCATGCTACAGCCCAGCCCTATCTGAACCACCCCCAGTCCCAGCAGCTGGCTTCTCTCTCTCTATCGCTCTCTCCATATTCTCACACTCTCTCTCTCCCCCGCTCTACCTGACACAGGATGGGAGGTCGAGCTGCCAGCCACCACCCCCATGTTGGAACCCACAGCCCCACTGACCCTCTCTCTATATACCCTGCCCCTTCCTGGCACAGCTGTGTCTCCCCCTAACTATACAGAGCTCCGTGCCACCCACCCCCCTGCAGATCCCAGAGCTGGGCAGGGCCACCACGGCGTCTTGCTGCACTCAGTGTCAGCGTTGCCCCTGCTCCAGGGCCCCAGCCCGGCCGCCCCCGACCCTGTCTTCCCACTAGGACTTGCCTGTGTGCCCAGGATTTGTCGTGGAGTTCCTGTGGACGACCAGGCTGTTGTGAGCCAAGCAGTTGATTAGCACTGGTTAAGCTGAGCACTACAGGGAATGGGTTGGGGCTAGAAGCACCTGGTCTAATGGGACTCAGCTGTACCCAATATTCTGCTAATGAGGGTGTGGGGGAAAGAGTGTCAAGGAGAGGTGAAAGGGCAATAAAGGGACACTTCCGAGAGGATTCCACCATCACCTGTCTCCTGAGGGTGCCTCATCCCCTCGCCGTGTCCACGTTACTGGCTCTGCTGGCCAGAGCACCAGGCCAAAACAACCACTTCAGGGGCACTTCTATAAAGAGCTGGGCACACCTGGGGTCCTGGTGCTGACTGTAGAGCCGACAGTCGGCTGGGCAGGGCAGCGCATGCTCTGGACATGGCTGTGGCAGAAGGAAAGTCGCCCTGGCTGGGGACAGGGCAGACAGGCATCCTTGTCCTGGTCCTGAGTCCAACACTGTCCAGCACACAGAAGGGTGCAGGAGGAGCCCCAGGACAAGGCCATGCTGGAGCTGACCCAGGGTGCCCCCTGCTGGCGTTAGTGCTGCTTCAGCCTCTGCCAGGCCCACTCCTGGCGGTGGGGCAGCTCCAGCCCTGAGCCCACTCCTGGCTGTGAGGCAGGAGCCACCCCAGGTGCCAGGGGCCACGGACAGAGGTCATGGTGTCTCGTGGGGCCTACAGCCCAGGATCAGGTCACAGGGGCTGGGGTGTGGATGCAGAGGAGGCAGGAAGGATCTCAGGACGCTGCCAATTCTCAGGCTGTCTCCTCTGGGAACCAGCAGCCAAGCTGTCAGGGCAGAGGGTCAATGCCTTCCTGGGCCCTGCAGAGCCCTGTGCCAACTGGGCGGCAAGGAAGCTGGCACGTCCCCTGTCCACATGGAGAGGCACAGGTCAGGGAGAACTGACCCACACCGCGCCACAGAGCAGGGGTGAGGCGAGTGAGACCTCAGAGAGCTCACAGGCTCTGAAACAGGAAGTTCCCTGCCTCCCCCCTGTGCACAGCAGAGCTCTGAGCAGGACCTGAGTGGACAGCACCTGTGACAGCCAGCCAGGGAGGACCACGCTCAGATCCAGTGTAGTATTCCTGGGCCATGCGGGTCCTGAGCCTTCAACTTCCCAGAGAAAAACCAGAGCTCCTTGGAAGTTTCCAGACACCTGGGCTTGAGGGTGCTCCTGATTCACCCACAGGTCCTCGAGGTCCCAGGCGAGGGAGCCCCGCCCACCCTGCAGAGAACAGCTTCACCCCTGATCTGGAGGCTGAAGCACCCTGCGCCTTGCCTACCGGGGACAGGCCCTGCACGTGGCTCCCGCTGGGTCCCTCACGTCTCTGTGCCATGCGCATTCCCTCACGTCTCTGTGCCATGCGCATGCTGAACCCAGGCCAGGTGCAGGGTGTCTGCACCCACAGTGAGCCCTGGGCTGCAGGGACCTGAAGAGGGTGCTCAGCGGGCAAGACCCTGCAGGAAGCCTGGCTCCAGGACACCTACAGTGACTGCACGTGGACCCCAAGCTACCCGAATCACCCGTGTGACGGGCACAGCCTGGAGATGGCTCCTCAGGCGCCCAGGCTACACGGGAAGTGGAACAGCTGAGACTCGAACCAGCGTCTCCCTCAGGATGTGGACACTCCAAATGCCCACCTCCTCCCTGCAGCTGGCCCTTGCTCTGCCACAGAAGGAGCCCCAGCCCCAGGTGCCAGGAGCCCCTTGGATCACAGGAGGGCCAGGGCAGCCGGGGGAGCCCTCCTGGGCCCTTCTGCAGGCCAGTGGACTTAATTGACAGACTATACTTGTATTTCCACAGGGTTGGGCCCACATATCCTTCACAGAACCTACCCCAGACCTGGTTCTCTCATGTTGGTTAGTGTCACGGCCCTGCCTGATGTGACCTGTCCCCTGTTCCACATTCAGTCAGGTACTGGGATCTAGTCCCACTAGACAGGGCCCGAGTCCTAGCTTTCACGTGCACTGGCATGTGGTGGTCGGCAATGTTCCATGCTTACAAGCCCTA